GGGGTTCTCAGAGCTGACTGGAGAGTTTACTCAATTCCCTGACAGCAGTTCCCAGGGGTGCTGTAGACAGACAACCTGGTCCTTCCTTATCAAGACTTGTAGACCAGAGACAAAGAGAGAATCAATCATATAGATCGTGCTCTGGGCTTAGAAGCAAGACCAAGAGCCAGGCGAGGGCTTCCTCGTGGTCAGGGAAGGGCTGTGCAGAGGAGGCCAGGTGGAGAAGGAAGCAGCCCAGGGTGGAAGCGAGGTGAAGCATAAGGAATCAGGCCTGGCAGGAGCATGCTTCCTGCTTTGGAGATTAACAAGAAGCCAGGTGACTGACCCAGACAGGATATGGGAGGGGTCTTGTAATTAAAATCTCCTCCTGACCCAGAAAACCTCTCCACAGGGGAGGAAGAGAAAGAACACCCATTTGCTGAGTGAACTTGCATGTGTACTCTGAGAGAAGGCAAAGAGGGAGGGAAGTCTTGCTCTTCTAGAGAAGGCAGAGATCTCGAAGTGGGCGGCGGCCAGGCCCTTTCCCGACCAGGATGGCCTCGAGAAGGATGTGGTGGTATGGTGGCTCGTGTCTAGAATCCTAGCAGTCTGGAGTCAGTGATGGTTTCTGTAAAACTTGCATCTGACCAGGTCTTGACCCATTTTCTGAAATTTGCTATGTTCCACACCCTATACCTCGACCTCCACCTTGATAATATGTTCTGCCAAGTAATTTTGAAATGATCTACCAAGTTCCTACATAACCAGAAAACTTTGGAAACCCTCTAGCTTTGCAAAATTTGGGCCTGTATAAGTCCCAGCTTTTCCTATGTTTAATGTATTTCCTCAAACCCTGCTTTAGGGAGAGATCCCCATCTGACAGAAAATAAAGCTTGCTTAATTTGACCAAAGAATTTGAGTAATGGTCTGTGGTGGTTTGAATATGCTTAACCCAGGGAGTGGCACTATTAGTAGGTGTGACCTTGTTGGAGGAGGTGTGTCACTGTCGGGGTGGCCTTTGAGACCCTCCTCCTAGCTGCCTGGAAGATAGTAGTCTTCTGTTTGCCTTTGAAACAAGATATAGAACTCTCAGCTCATTCTCCAGTGACATGCCTGCCTGGACACTGTCATGCTTCCTGCCTTGATGATAATGGACTGAGCCTCTGAACCTGTAAGCCAGCAGCAATTTAATGCTGTCCTTTATATGAACTGCCTTGGTCACGGTGTCTCTTCACAGCCATGGAAACCCTAACTAAGACATGGTCTTTACTCTGCTTAATGGAATTGACAAGAAACAGGAGGATTGTCAAAAGTTCAAGATCAGGGGTCTGGAGAAGGAGCTCAGCCACTAGGAACACCTGTTGCTCTCAGACAGGGCCTGGGTTCGGTTCCCCAAGCCTACAGTTATCTGCATCTCTGTTACCAAGAGATCTGATGCTGTCTTCTCAACTGTGGCACGGGGCATAGGCGTGCACTGTACATAGACATACAGATTGGGGAGGGCGGGGACCTCATACACAAGATATAAACTTCTGTGTTAGCCAGGGTTCTATAGAGTCACAGAACTTATGGGTAGTCTCTATATAGTAAGGGAATTTGTTGATGACTCACAGTCTGTAGTCAACTCCCCAACAATGGTCAGCAGCAGCTGTGACTGGAAGTCTGAGCATCTAGCAGTTGCTCAGCCCCACAAGGCAGGCAGGCAAAGAAGAAAAGGGGTCTTCCTTCTTCCCATGTCCTTATGTAGGTCTCCAGCAGAAGGTGTGGCCCAGATTAAAGGTGTGTACCAACACGCCTGGATCTGGATTAAAGGTGTATACTAACTTGTCTGGGCCGAAGATTTTCATAGCTACTGTGCCTCAAGATCAGGGTCCCAGGCGAGCCTTCCAATTCTGGATTGTAGCTCATTCCAGATGTAGTCGAGTTGACAACCAGGAGTAGCCACCACGAAGTCTAAATAAAAAAAATTGTTGCCGGGCAGTGGTGGCGCACACCTTTAATCCCAGCACTTGGGAGGCAGAGGCAGGCAGATTTCTGAGTTCGAGGCCAGCCTGGTCTACAGAGTGAGTTCCAGGACAGCCAGGGCTACACAGAGAAACCCTGTCTCGAAAAACAACAGAAAAAAAAAATATTAAGGACGCTGAAAAATACAGAATAGCAAAACCAAGAAGTGTGGGTGTCTCCTGTGCTCTGGCCATCTATGGGGCAAGACACACTCTCACAGAAGAGATGACAGCCATGTAGCACCTCAGCAGGATCCCCCTGTGAAATCCTACAGTGCCTTGCATGTGTTCGGTCTTCTCTCCCAGAATGCCTTGTGAGGTATAGAGGACCAAGATTCAATGTCTTTCTGGGTGGTGCTGGCCCTTTGGGAATCTCTCCCTACTCCTGGGAAGTAACACTACTGATTTAATTTATATTAAAATAAAGCAGTACTTACTTTTTAATTTAATTTAATTTAATTTAATTTAATTTAATTTAATTCTTTGAGGCAGGGTTTCTTGGTGTATCTCTGGCAGATCTGGAACTCACTCCGTAGACCAGGCTGGCCTGAACACACAGAGATCTCTTGGGTTTGCCAGCCAGCCCAGGCTTCTTAGCAAACTTGGTCTCAGTGAGGGACTTTGTCTTAAAAAACAAGCCTGAGGTTAACCTTAGGCTTCTATACAGGGGACTATGTACCGTACTGGAGTGCACAGATTCACAAATACTAACATATGCAACATATACTCAGATACACACCAGACACACACAGACACACTCACACACACACTCACAGGATCTCACTAGAACACAGAGAGGAGACTAAGGAAAGGGGTAGCCACAACCCAGCGAGAGCCTCCTTTCTCCTCTGGTGCTCCTCTGGCGCTGCACCCCTTTGTGACTGAGCAGGAGAGTACTGACTGAGCAGGAGAGTACTGACTGAGCAGGAGAGTACTGCAGGGCAAAGGCAAAGCGGAGAAGCTGCCTGACATGGTTTCCGTGACGTCAGTTCAGTGAGTGGCTAACATGTTAGCTGTGGAGACTCACTGATGCCCAGCCTCTCCCCCTCCCTCCCCAGTGCTGGGACCAAAGGCATGAGACACCACTGCCCAGTGCAGAGGGACTATTTTTATCCAAATCAGAACAGCAAGAAAAGGTGTTGTCACTGGGTGGTGGTGGTGCACGTCTTTAATCTCAGCACTTGGGAGGCAGAGGCAGGCAGATTTCTGAGTTCGAGGCCAGCTTGGTCTACAGAGTGAGTTCCAGGACAGCTCAGGCTATACAGAGAAACCCTGTCTTGAAAAAACAAAATTAAAAAAAAAAAAGAAAAAGTGTTGTCCCAGTCCCCAGAGAGTTTGTGACCTGAGAGATGGTACAATGGTAGGAATCTAAGACACCCAAGTTTGCATATCTCTGAGGATGTTGGTTGTATTAAAAAAAAATTCATAAAAATAAGATGAAGGGAGAGAGAGAGAGAGAGAGAGAGAGAGAGAGCAGCTGTTCCCACAATTCACTGACCCTCTGAGCCTCCTCATCCATGCTGGAAGCATGTATCTAAGAATAGTAACTTCCAGAACTGAGCAGGCTCGCTGGGCTGCCTGGACAGAAAGAAGCCTTTGTCCCTCTGAATATTTATTGCATAATTATAATCCGAGGTGTTTGGCCCAGTCCCCTCCTGCTTATACACTTAATACTTCCTGGACAGCCGGGCAGTGGTGGCGCACGCCTTTAATCCCAGCACTTGGGAGGCAGAGGCAGGAGGATTTCTGAGTTCGAGGCCAGCCTGGTCTACAGAGTGAGTTCCAGGACAGCCCGGGCTACACAGAGAAACCCTGTCTCGAAAAACCAAAAAAAAAAAAAAAAAAAAAAAATACTTCCTGGACATCTGTCGATGCCGTAACTCTCTGCTCGTGTTATGAGTGTTGACAGTAAATCAGAATATTAGATAAGAATGGCAATACCTAAAGCAAAAGACACCCTGTCATTTGAAGGCATCGCTCTGGGTTGAAGATATGGCTTGGTCAGTCAAGTGCCTGCTACATAGAGTGTCTGTGATTACAGAGCTGAGGAGTTGAGGCAGGGGGATCCCTGGGCTTGCTAGCCAGCCAGCCTGGCCATACAGACAAGCTCCCAGTTAGTGAGAGACCCTGTCTCAAAAAAGTACATTGTTAATGAAGGCTAAAGAGATGGCTCAGTGATTAGGAGTGGTTTCTGTTCTTCCACAAGACCTGAGTTTGGTTCTGGGCAACTCACAACCATCTGTTTACTCTGCCTCCAGGGGGTCTGATGTCTTCTTCTGGCCTCTGAGGGTACACATACACACGCACACTCACACGCACATGCATATACACATGTACACACATGCACATACATACATGACACATATACATAAAAACATAGGTAGGAAAGATAAGTTTTTTAAAATAAAGGACAAATGGCAAAGTTATGTTGAGTGATCTGTGTCCAGAGATGTTCAAGTGGAAGATGCCCACAAGCTCCCTGGGTTCACCTCTGTGTTCATGTCATTAAAAACTGAGCCACAAAGAGCATCCAGGCCTGGGGCTTCCATGGGTACCATCCATCTGTGGCCACCATCCATCTCACTGTCTCCTCTCAGCCAGCAGCATGGCTGCCAGGGGACAGGTCTCACCTCTGAACACCATTCCAGCATTTCCAATGCTAAGAGGCAGGAAAGCAAGCCATTTGGAGAAATAGCTCGGGGGAATCTAAAACAAGAGACACACAGCTGACCACAGGGCACCGTGTCACATCAGAGAGCAAGGAGGCTTTCAAAGACCACACAAGTCTCTCCTCAGCCACTGGTACTCTTTAGGAGTATCATGGTTTCCAAGGCAGAGATACTCAGTCATTCACTGAGAGTAAAGAGACAAGCGAACTTGGTGTTTCATCCTGGATAGGACCCTAAAACAGACTGCTTTTAAAATAAAGGACAAATACTAAAGGATTGTCATAGATTAAATGGTAAAATTACACAATTTTCCATTTTCTAATGAAATTCAGCCCCGCCCCCTTTAACAGGGGAGAGAATGAGCATAGTCCCGCACTCCCACAAACTATGCGGTTTCCTGGCCCCAAGGAAACTGCAGGAGTCAGCACATCCAGAGAGAAATGGCTAAGCCTCACCCTGGGAAAACCCCCTCTGTGACTATGCTGTCACCTCTGCCAGGTGACAAGTATTCTAAAAGAGGTGCTTTGTTTTGTTTTGTTTCGGTTTTTCGAGACAGGGTTTCTCTGTGTAGCCCTGGCTGTCCTGGAACTCACTCTGTAGACCAGGATGGCCTCAAACTCAGAAATCTTCCTGCCTCTGCCTCTAAAAAAAGTTTTGACTGAGTATGTCAGAGTATTTGTTCTGTTCCGGGCACACACATATCCCAAACTACCCATTGGTAAAGTTCTATGCTTTTGCCTTCAATTTCCTTTGTGTTGCTGTAACAAAGTATCCCAGACCAGGTAGTTTACAAACAAGGGAAGTTGATTTGCAATTTCAGCTTGGAGTGGCCACATCTAGTGCAGACCACCGTCTGTTTAAAGAAAGAAAAAAAAAAGGCCAAAAGCTTACATGCATGAGAGGGAGAAAGAAGGGGCCTGTCAGGAATCAGCTCTGGTGAGAGCAAACCAGCTAAGACAATGGTGTTAACCATTCACGGAGGCGAAGCCCTTTGACCTGAGCATCTCTCAGTGGTTCCACCTCTGTGCACTGTGGCATTTACATTGTGTCCTTCTATCTTCTCTCCCTTCCATTCCTCTCCTCCTCCTCTCCCCACCTTCTTCTCCCCCCTCCCTTCCTCTCTTTTGCTGACTGTAGCCCACTTGGGATGTGGTGAAGGGCACCCTACCTCCTGACCCTCCTCCTACCTCTCAAGTTCTGAGATCAAGGTGTCCGCCACCTCAGCCAGTAGTACTGAAGTCAAACCCAGGTCCTTGTGTGTGCTAGGCAAACACTCTACCAACAATCTGTTAACAGACAGCCTGGCACTGTCAGATATTTTTAAATTGTGTGTGTGTGTGTTTGTGTGACAGACAGAGACAGAGAGAGAGTGTGTGTAAATTAATATGATACAGTATAGAACACTGAGGGGCCTGGAAGGAGGGTACATGGGAATCCTGGATACTGTTTTGTAGCTTTTCTATAAGTTTAACATTATTTCCAATTTTTAAAAAATTATCAAAGGAGACTACATAACTGATAAAGGAAAATTATTTACAGAATTCGGTTAAGATCTGGGCATGGAGGTACAGGAAGATGCAGAGGCCAACAGTTCTCTGTGAGTTTGAGGATGACCTGGTCTACATAGTGAATTCCAGGGTGGCCAGAGCTACACAGAGAGTTTGTTTCAAAACAAACAAATGGAAAGAATTCTGGCTAAAAGCGCACCTGGGTGAATACAGTCTTTCATTCTAAGTGTGAAAAATGTATAACGAACAGAAGAGGGAGAAAAATAACGTCATCAGCCAGATCTTGTTTCTTGGGACTGGAGAGATGGTTCAGCAGTTAAGAGAACTGACTTCTCCGACTGGGGACTGAGGTCTATTCCCAGCACCCCCAGGGTAACTCAGGTAGCCAGTAACTTCAGCTTCTGCAAATCTGACACTGTCCTCTGGTCTGGACTCTGGGTTTAGCACAGACTACACACTGATCGGACTCTGGATTCACCAAGCCCAGAAGGTCGAAACCCAGTCTAATGGTTTTGCATTATGTCGCCTGGCTCAGTGTGCCTGCAGACAGTATCAATCAACGTCTGAAGGTGAGATTTGCGCTCGAGTATTCAAAGTTGAATCCTCCGTGCCCATCCCGCTTCTCTCATCACTTCTTTTCTTTCTAGAACAATTTTCTTAATGTTGTCAGCCGCTTCCTCTGCTGAGTCGAGCGTGAGGGAGGCAGCCACCGTCTCGCAGGTGAGTGTGATCGATTATTAAATCCGCTAGCTGTCTGACAGCCTGTCAGTACACAGCTACCGTTTTTTGGAGAGCTTGGCACAAAGGGATGAAAGAGCATAAAAGGAGTGAGAAAAAGACTTCAAAATCCTTGATTGCAGACAGAATTCAATGTAATTCAGCGAACCTAGCCTGGAGGAGAAGACTTGGAAAGTACCCAAGCTGCCACCTGGATCCAGACTCCAGTCTGCCCTGGTGGTGTGGCGTCCCAAGGGCTCCGAGGGTTGCCGGTGAGTTGGGGGATGGAAACTCTGCCCCCCCACCCCCAGCCCCAGATTTCACACTGAGCGCTGCTTTTTTAAACCCGGGTGGAGGGGCCAGGGCACAGCACCAATGGTCAGGCTCAGGTGCGGATGATATGGTGGCGCACACATCTGGCCTGGTACCTCCTGAGGACATGGCTGTGCACAGGACTAGCTGGAGTTCACAAGGCTGGGTGTGATGGGAGTGTATGTTGGCTGCAGGATCGACGTCTGTGTCCCGAGCTCTAGAGTCCACTTAGGGGAGAAAGCTGGGTGATGGGCTGGCCAGAATGGCTCCAATCTTCTTGGCGTTGGGTACATTAAGACAATATAGTTTGATGAGTTTAGAAACCAGTCTTTCAGACACCCCGTGGGATGTGACACCCTGTCCACCCCAGAGCCACTAAGAGCCGCCCCAACCTTCAGTGCTTCCCCAACCTCAGTGGTTGGGTTAGGGAGGCTCTTTCTGTGGTGGGCGGGTCAAGCCTTGCCCCTCATTGAGGAATGGGAGCCGTCAATCACTGAGAACACTAGACCTTGGGCTAGTCCGGGACTTCTAACTACACGTGAAGAGTTGAGATAGAGAGAGTTAGTTGGAAGAGTGGGTGGAAGATTGGCAAAAGCTGGAATCACTGAAGTGCTACATAGGGTCCTGCATGGTGGAGAGCGATCCACATCCGTCAGGAAGCGCCATCACGGTTTGGTTTCCTGTAGCCGGTTTCTCCATGGTGCGTAAAATGGAGGCGGAAGCATAACTAAGATGCATACATTTCTTTTGGGGTGGGGGACGGCTCACTATATCACTCTGGCTAGCCTAGAACTCGCTGTGTAGACTAGGCTGGCTGCGAACCCATAGAAGTCCACTTCCTTCTGCCTCTTGGGTGCTGGGATTACAGGTGTGAACTATTCCTAGGGCTAAAATAATATTTTTAAATACTTTTATTTATTTAGTATGTATGTATGTGAAGGGCAGAGGACAACTTGCAGGAGTCCGTTCTCTCCCTTCACTGTGTGGCTCGTAGGGACCCGACCCCAGCCATCAGACTTGGTAGCAAGTGCCTTTACCCACAGCCTTGTCAGGGTTAAAATAAGCTTGATCAAACTAAAGCTGCATCAGATACGCAGTAGTTAAGGGAACACAGGAGATGAGCAGTCTGGGTGAGGTGGAGAGGCATTAGGAAGCTGTAACATCGGAGAGCTCACAGCCCTTTTCACAGAACAAACGATGCTAATTAAAATGTAACTGGACCTGATCCCAGTCCGGGCACCTGTTGAAGTGTTCAGGTTCTGGCAAAGAATTGGATGGGGATGGATGGCTTAAAATAGATAGTTTATTAAGAGAAAGAACTCAGAGAATGGGATGGCTAATAATCCTCGGGGAAAGCTTTGCTAAAAACAATCTGCTGGGGCGGGAAAGATGGCTCAACAGGTTAGAGCACTGGCCACCCTTGCAGAGGACCTGGGTTTGGTTTCCAGCACCCACATGGTGGCTCACAACTATCCGTAACTGTAATTCCAGTTCCAGGGAATCAGATGCCCTTGTCTGGCCTTTGTTGGTACCAGGCAAATATATGTGCATATATATACATGCATGCAGGCAAAACACTCATACACGTGAAAATAAGAGTAAAAAAATATATTTTTAAAAAGATTACACTGAGGGCCAGGCAGTGGTGGCACAGAGCTTTAATCTTAGCACTCAGGACACAGAGTCAGGTGGATCTCTTGAGTTCGAGGACCCAAGTGCCCTCCTCAACACCCACACTGGCTGTCGCACAGTTGCCTGTAACTCCACCTCAAAGGGATCTGAAGCCTTCTGGTCTCCATAGCCACCTGTGCTCATGTGCACATACATAATTAAAAATACTAAAAAATGTTTATTAGTAACCACATTGGGATAAAACAAAGTAACTCATCTTTAATAAAAATTATGAGGCCAGGTGTGGTGGTGCACATCTTTTAATCCTGTACTTGGGAAGCAGAGGCAGGTGGATATCTGTGAGTTGCACACCAGCCTGGTCTACAGAGTGAGTTCTAGGACACCCAGCGCTCCATAATAGAGAGGTCCTATTTCAAAAAAAAAAAAAAAAGAAATTACATTTTTAGATTTAAGAGAAAGTAAAAACCAGTATAGACGGTCCACGTAGGTCCAAGCAGAGCTGCCATCTGCTTGGGTAATGTCTCGTGCTGCCAAGGTTACAGATTTTCTTCAGCATGGCCCACCCTGAAAGCAGCAGTTACTTTTGGTACAGGAAGCCTGGCGCCAGCTAATGCTGTCCAGATGTGGAGGTGCACGGGTTTTAAGGAAAGAGCTCGAAACTGTTCTAAAAAAGGAGGGCTCGATAAGTGGACGTAAATGTCTTGGATTTGAACCAATACAAGCGTGTCAGGAGTGACAAGCCACTGTTGTGTGTGTTACATGGGCTGACCAGGGTTCCAGAGTGGTGTGTTGGGCCAGTACAGTGCGGGAGCCAAAGGCTTTGGGGCTGGTTCCCATGGCTGGACAGAAGCTCAGAGTCCGAGAGGTCCTCTCAATCAAAAGAACATTCCACTGGGGTTGTTTTCTTCAACTGCTGTGGCTCTAGCCCAGGAGCTAGAATCCCTGATGAGGGCTTTCCTGTAGTCTGTCCTCTCTGCTTGCAGTCTCCTTCCTGCCCGTATTTTTGTTTGTTTGTTTGTTTTGGGTTTTTTGTTTTGTTTTGTTTTTTGAGACAGAGTTTCTCTGTATAGCCCTGACTGTCCTGGAACTCACTCTGTAGACCAGACTGGCCTTGAACTCAGAAATCCTCCTGCCTCTGCTTCCCAAGCTCTGGGATTAAAAGCGTGTGCTACCACTGCCCGGCTGATTTTTAAGATTTATTGTGTGTGTGTGTGTGTGTGTGTGTGTGTGTGTGTGTGTGTGTGTGTGAGTGTTTCAGGTACCTACAAAGAACAGAAGAAACTGTCAGATCCCATGGAGATGAAGTTACAGGCAGTTTTGGGCCAAGACGGGTGCTGGCTAGCCACTTTGGGTCCTCTGAAAGAGCCAGTGCTCTTTACTGCTGAGTCACCTCTCTGCCCTGCCCCACTTTTTTTTTTTTTTTTTTTTTTTTTGGTTTTTGGTTTTTCAAGACAGGATTTCTCTTTATAGCCCTGGCTGTCCTGGAACTCACTCTGTAGACCAGGCTGGCCTCGAACTCAGAAATCCGCCTGCCTCTGCCCCCCAAGTGCTGGGATTACCCATCCCACTTTTTAAAACATTGCTTTACATTTATCTTAAATTGTGTGTGTTCGTGTGGGGAGGGCACACGCAGCAGTCATGTGGGGGTCAGAGGACAACCAATGGGCAATCGGTCCTCTTCTTCCACCATGTGGGTGCCAGGGACAGAGCTCAGCATTGAGCTTGGTAGTAGGCACTTTGGCTGAGCCAACTCTCCTGCTGCCTTCTCCTCCTCTTCCTCCTCCTCCCCCTCTTCTTCTATCATCATCATCATCACCACCATCACCATCATCATCATCACAAGGTCTCTCTATGTCATCCTGGGTATCCTGGAACTCACCATGTTGATCAGGCTGGCCTCAAACTTAGAGATCCTCACCTCCTATGTACCAACATCAATGTTTTTTTCTTTAAAAAAAAAAAGATTATTTTACTGTACGTGTGTGTGTGTGTGCGTGTGTGTGCGTGTGTGTGCGTGCACACACACACACACACATATGTACTCATGCCTGCATGTGCACATGAGGCCAAAGGAGAGAGTCAGGCATCCGTTATCATTTTCCCCTGTTCCACTGACTCAGGGTCTCTCCCTCTCTCTCTCTCTCTCTCTCTCTCTCTCTCTCTCTCTCTCTCTCTCTCTCAGAAACAATAGCCTGTACCTTTTCAGCCAAGGGGGAAGACAACAAGCCCCAGCAATCCTTCTGCATCCACCCCCATCAGAACTGAGGTTACAGGTATTTGTGGGGATACCCATCTTGTGACACGGATATGCTGGGATTCAGACTTCCATCCTCACGACTGTGTAGCAAGTTGCTCTGTCTGAAGCCCATGCCTGCATCTCTGTACCGTCAATAACACTTCTCACTGCTGGGACCAAGTGTCTGACAAGGTGCAAATTAAGGGAGGAGGGCTGATTCTGCCCATAGTGCTGGGGCAGAAGCTGTTCTGTGAGGAGGTCCCAGCAGGAGTGTGGTACTGCTGGCCACAGTGTGTCACAGCCAGGAAGCAGGAAGGGATACCCGGGTTCAGCTCACTTTCCCTTTGCTATCCAGTCAGGATGGTAACCCATGGAACCTTGCTGCCCCCTTCAGCATGGGCCGTCCCTCTTCAGTTAAACCTGCCCAGAAACAGCCTCCCAGACATATCCAGGGCTGTGTCTCCTAGGTGATTCTAGGTCTTGTCAAGTTGACACTCAGTGCTAACCATCGCACCTGCCTTAGCTTGTCAGCAGCCCTTGTGGAATTGAGTTTTCTTTCTTTTGACATTTGTGAGTGAATAGGGGTTCCTCTTGATTCCAGCTCACAGGGTGGAGCGAATGCTCTGTGTTCAATCTTACCAGTGATGCCGGGAATGGTTAAGAACGGCTTCTGAGTCTGCAGATACATTTATTTTATCATTTGTGCACAAGTGTGTACATGTGTGTGGTACCTGTGGAGGTAAGAAGAGGAGGAGGTTCCTAAGCTCTGTAGCTGGAGTAACAGGAGGCTGTGAGCCTCCTGCCATGGGCTGTGGGGACTGCACTGAGGTCCTGTGGGAGAGCAGCAAGCACCCTTAACTGCTGAGCCCTCTCTCCAGACACCTGCACTCACATGCACAATACACACACACACACACACACACACACACACACACACACACACACACAGAGTTAAAAAGAAAGTAAATCTTTAAAAAGTTAACTCCGGTCTCCATGCTTTGAGCTGTGTCTCTATATCGATTTAGTTTTATTTTAGCAAATAAAACCAGACCTTAAGAGCTTTCCTACTAGCCGGGCGGTGGTGGCCCAAAGCTTTTAATCCCAGAACTTCGGAGGCAGAGGCAGGTGGATCTCTGTGATCCAGCCTGGTCTACAGTGTGAGTTCCAGGACAGCCAGGGCTACACAGAAAAACAAACCCTTTATGGAAAAACAAAGACAAAAAAAACTTTCCTCCTTCTGTCCTTAGGATACCCTTGATTCAGTCTGCTCAGGCTATGAACTTTCTGGCAAATGGGGTGACAATAGATAGGAGATGTGGGCTTGAAGGAGTTGCTGTGGTCCCCACCCCCACCGTCACTGAGTGTTCTACCTCGGCACTTATTCTAGAGGACACTGGGGCACTTTTTTGAATGCTTTCTGGTAGTTTCTCACTCTCTGAAGGCTGTTAGTCTCACCAAAGATAATGGTCACGTTGTCTGTTCTTTTGGAGTTGGGGTGGGGTGTGGGGAGGAGGGTGTCTAGTGCTGGGAATGGAACTCAGGGGCCTTGAACTTAGGACACACATGCCCTACCCAGAGCTCCTGCTGTGTGTCCAGCATAATCCTCTGTGTGCCAAACAGGCTCAAGGTGTGACTGTACCGAAGACAAGCTTCAGCAGTGAGCCACTGTTCTGCCCCAGGGTGACGTCTGAGCCTTTCACTCAGACTTTTACTAAAATATTACTCCCCTGCTGCTTACTTCAGCCACCAGGCCCAGATGCTTCCAGAAATACCCCTAGGGCAGAATGAAGAGTGTGGTGTTACTAAATAATGCCTATCACCCTATAGCACCCCATATTTTGTCTACACTGAGTACTTAGGTTCCAAGCACCAAGCCCCCATCACCTATCCTGGCCCACCCGCCCTGAGTCTGTAGAACACGGCACAGCTGGACCCTCACCAGCAACCTGAAGCCAGAGGGATCAGGGGTTTCCTCATCTGAAGAAATTAACGCAGATAACACGATATTTAAATTGCAGGGACCAAGAAGATCCTTAGATAACACAGGTCTGTCTGTCTGTCTGTTTTTTTTGTAAGACTGTCTTTCAAATAAATTCTGGGAGTCACAACTGCCCAGACCAAGTCTCTCAGGGTTGTCAGGATGTCCTGGGTCACGTCTTGCCGGGTGACGGGCCTACATGTCATAGAGTCGGAGTTGTTCCTGCACGTCCCCATCCGACATCTCACCAAACGTGTCCTTGTTGTCCTTCATGAGCTTGAAGATGGCAGCCAGCTGTTCTTTCTGAACTCTGTTGAGAAGAGAGGATGAGAGGAAGAGGGTGTTCCTGATCCAGGGCAGGAGTGGGGTGGGTGGGGCCTGTGCTGGCAGCCAGGTGCTGACTCTCCTCTTTTCTAACTACTTGTGCTTTCCTGTGTAAGCCCCACTTAAACTGCAGGAGGCGGTTTGCTCTAACACACCTAGCCCTGAACCCTTGGTCTCAGGTGCCTCACTTTCTGCACGGGTCTAAAGCCAATCTGCACGTCACAGTGGGGTAAGGAGGAAGGACCCCTGTGTTGGTAAGTGGCTTGAGGTGCTGAGAAAAAATAGGTTAGGAATAACCTCGGTTTAGAGGATGTACCAGAAGGGGAAGGAGAAGGAAATGGAGGCATACAGATGTGGGTATACAGATGTGCAGGCCAGAGTGCTGAGCAATGGGGAGGGTAGCCCCTGGGGTTCTGCTGCCTAGAGAAAGGGGCCTTTCCTTATGTGTACAAAGTAGGTGTGGATGTAGATGCCTCAGTGTTGACCACATGGTTTGCGTGGCTGCCTCGTGGTTTGTGAGATTCTGGCCACACCATCTGACCAGCGCAGAAGGACTTCCATAGCTAACATCAAGGGTGCACTGAGCAGCTGAAGCCAGGAACAGTGTGTGCCCTGATAGCATGGATTCTGCAGTTCCTGTCCCTCCATGACACACACCACTGCTTTGGGACTTAGAACGAACTGGAGCTACAGTGCAGCTCAGATCTCCCTCCCCGGGGCCACGCCCACTGCAGCTATGCTACATGGAGGTCTGCCATAACTGAGCGGATCTCAGCAAAGCGTTTGCCCACTGGATTGTCTGGAGGGGTGGTCCTGATGTGTCAGGTCTTAGGCTACAGTTTTCACTTCGTAACCCTGGCTATCCCGGAACTCATTTTGTAGACCAGGCTGGCCTCAAACTCGCAGAGATCACCCGCCTCTGCCTCCTGAGTGCTGGGATCAAAGGCATGTGCCAGCATGCCAGGCTGGCTCTTGTGATTTCATTGACATTCCTTCTTCTGTGAGTTTTCACCCCCACCCCCACCTCACACCTTCCACTCAACAAATGGTTTTCTGCCTATAGTGGCATCTAGCAGTTGGAGTACCGATGTCCCAATAATAATAATTATTATTATTAGAACTATTTTTGGAGGTAGGAGTGTTGAGACAGGGTCTAACTATATAGACTTTGTTAGCCTGGAATTCATTATGTAAAATCTGCGTGCAGATACTGGGATCACAGCTGGTACCACCACCATTCCAAACCTATGGGGCTGCGGTATTTATTTATTTATTTATTTATCCATCATTCTTATTTTTATTTGTATGGGAGTTTCACCTACATGCATGTATATGTAGCATGTGTTTGCCTAGTGCCCTCAGAGGTCAGAAGAGGGAACTGGATCCCCTGAGACTAGAGTTATGGGTGGTTGTGAACCACCATCTGGGTGCTGGGAGTTGAACCCATACCCTCTGCAAGAGCAAATGCTCTTAGCCAAAGAGCCATCTCTCCAGCCCTGGGATGTATTTTCAATCAGGTGTGCATACGGATGGCTCTATACTCTGCTGGGATCGTCAAGGGCATCAAAAATGAGAGTAGGCGTAAGCCTCTTGTTTCTAAAGATTTCAAAAAAAATAAAAATAAAGCAAACTGAAGAAACACACAGTAACCAAGGTTCTCTACTCAATGTTTATTGGCCTGAACACAGGCTGAACACAGAGAGCAAGCTGTCAGCAGTGGGAGAGGCTTGTTACCGGTAAGCCACGCTCAGGTTCCACATGGGCCTAGCTAACCATATCCAGAGGAAGTCGCTATTTTATGTGGAGGAAGTCCTGGCTTAGGCAGGGACTTCGCTATTGCTGTTTAGGGACAGGTGAGTGTGACTGTGGCTCTGTGTCTAACTAAGGCAGTGTGTGTCTGCTGCTGTTTTGTCGCCTGTTCAGCCCTAAGCCTGGAACCGGAGTTATCAGGGAGAAGACCGCCAGGAATCCTCGGCTTAGCAGTCAGTGCTGGAATTTTCCAGGCTTCCGTTAAATGGGAAGTCTTCTAAAAAAACCTAGTGCTTTAGACAAAAATGTTTTCGCCAACAAGTCTATGACTTCCAAGTCGTTTGGTATAAATACTGTCAAATATAAAATTCTAAAAAACTAACCTGGGGCCCGTGGGTGGTTATCTACTGAGGTTCTAAGTCATCTAGAAGAAAAAAAAGCCTTAGAAAATGCACAATCCAGAAGTCTATTGGAAGCTGATACTTATTGCTTCTGCAGGCAGAAGTGGAGTCTTGGCTGAGCCGATAAGAACACTATCGGGAAGGCTTCCTAGTAGTGAGAGGGTTGGACCTGAGACTCCTGGGGTGTGGCTGGGAGCAAAAGGGGAGGCCATATTAAAGCTAGTATCTGGCATAAATCATTCCAGCCAGAGAGGAAAGTGCCCCCACCCTGTATGCGTGTGTGGGTGACCATCTCAGGGTAACCACCCCTGACCACAAGTGAGCACCAGTGGGCTTCACTTCCTTTGTCTGTTACTTCTCAGATCTGGTGGTTTGGCTTCAGTGAGAACAAAGCACAGAGGAATTATGGGAACAGGGTGTGTCGGGGTGGTGGGGGCACGAAGGCTGTGTGGGGAGTAAACGTGGCTGGTAAGAAAAGCCCAAGGCCTGAACCCATACTGTTGGCAAGTTTCCTCCTCATAAACACCTCTGAGAAGGACACAGACAATGCCATTCCCAGGATCTTGCTAGCCCAGGGGAACCCAAGGAGGGGTTGGTCAACCTGCAACCTGCAACCCTTCCCCAACCCAGCCTGCACTGGCTCCTCCCTTGGGGGGGGGGGAGGGGCAGTTTGTTTGTTTTTTTTAATCTCTCAAGCTTTTAGGATGTCAAAAGGAAAGAAAGCCTTCAGGAGGAGGCTAAGGACACCTTCATTATTCTTCGGTTCTGTAAAGAGAAACAGGGAGAGAAAGATCATGTATCTTGCTTGCTCAGTTGACTTTAGAAGCAGCACAGGACAGGAGAGTGGGCGCAGGGACGAGAAGGAGGACGTTTGGAAATTGCAGAGGCCATGGTGGACTCTGCCGCTTTCTTAGACCAGCAGTTTGCTCCTCATACCTGGCAGTGATACAGCTTTGTTAGTCCCCACCACCACCACGCAGTGTGGTTCCACTGACGGTATTCCTATTGCCTTAGATAATTTTTGTTTCCTGCTGCCTGGGTCTTCGTCTGCTGTGAGGGCTCTGGACCTAAGCCTGTAGGTTCCCCAGAAGGACCAAAAGCCTGGACACGGCTCTAAAGGCAAGAGGTCTGATTGTGTGCCTTTGGTGCCCTCTCCTGGAAGCAGGAGTCAATGCATACTTTCTGCTGTTGGACTCATGCAAGAGGAGCTGAACTGTAGGGTAAGGCTGGGGGTGGGGGTGGGGGATGGGGTCCCACTTCCCTAACTGGCCTAATATACCACATGAAACCCTTTTCTTGGGTCCTGTCTATTTCCATGAGCGGAAAGGTAACAGACCCACAGCTGGTGAGCCACAGCAGCGAGAGGCCTGGCTTGGCCTGTCAGCATCAGCTTAGTTCGTGTACAAGCTGGGTTCCTCTTTCTCTCTGGGACCAGAAGGTGGGATATCCTGCTAAGAACTGAAGCCAACCAGGCTTCTTGGCCTGGGAGAGCAAAAGCCTGCTAGCCAATGATCCCAGCCACACTGAGGGAGGTGGCACCCCCAAGAGAAGCTTCCGGTAAGAGGCAGGGACAGAGCCAATGTGAGGAGCAGGGGAGGGGTGTGCAATTCCACCCAGAGGGAATTCAAAAAGGTTAGCGTGCGGAGCGGTTGAGACTTAAGCAGTTACTGCCTTCTCTCTTCCCAGGCCCTGGACAGGAGTTTTGTCTGAGCAGATCCAGGGGCAGAAAGTCTCAATTGAGATCGTAAGGGAACTCAGTGGGGACATCAAGTCTCCTAAGTGCGACTCCCTGACGACCTGTGATCAAGCCTGAGGAGAACAGAACAGGGAACCGCCACAGAGCTGGGTTCTAGGCGCAGCTGCGGTGGCCCAGCTAATGACTCACAGTGAGAGGGGGACAGTGCACCATCTACCTGCTAACAAGGTGCTTGCCTGTTTATCAGTCTAGAAGCAGAAAGAGGCAGCCTGGTAGGAACAGGTCTGACAGGCGCCCTGCCGGCTTGAGAGAGTAATTCATTAGTTCGATGATAACAAGGTTGAGTATTATTATTAATATTATTGTTGTTATTATTATGTTTTGTGTGCATGTGGAACTCAGGGGACATGCCATACCACTTGCTTCTCCCCTTTTATCAAGTTAGTCTGAGGATCAGACTCAGGTCGGCAGGCAGTAGCGGGCACCTTTATCTGCCAAGCCAGCAAATACGCTTGTGCTGTTTTGCAGGGGATAGTTCTAGAGATGTTCCCCAAATTCAGTTGAGTCTGGATCTGTCTTGTAGCTATCTCCTCTTCAAAACCCAGAGACAGAAGGGCGAAGCCAACCTGAGCAGCCTCTGCAACCCCCAGCATCAGACATGGCACAGAAGTGTGACCAGGGGTGGGCCCTGCGGCTGGGCCTGCATGCAGGGACGGGAGCGAGCAGATGTCGGGTGAGCCGGGAGAGCCACAGGAAGCATGCTGGGTAGGGCAGTGGAATGAACATGAACTCAGACCCTGCTGAGACCTCTCCCGGCCCCTCCTGCACACAGTGAGGACTTCCCTGTGCAAAGGAGGGGTCACTCCAGGTGCAGCTCCTTGGCATACTCTCCAGCTCACAGAACAGCCCCGAGTGCATCATGGGTGATCTGGAGACTCCCAGAGACTTGGAGCAGAAGGCCCTCCGGTCTGCTGTCTTTGAAAATGACATAGAGGCAACTTCGCCTTTTTCATTTCCTGGCATCAGCTCTGAGAGGGAACAGTGGCAGACCCCAAACTTGAGATCTAACTGCTCTCCTACTATGACAGCACCCCCCCCAAGGCCTACTGTACATTAACCTGAGTGGATAGAATAGGGCCACAGTGCTGCCAAGGCCCCGCCCCCAGGGGCCTTTAGGATGGCAGGGGTGTCCTGCCCTCTCTCTCCTCTCCAGCCAGGGCTGGATCTGTGGCAACACTTTAGCTCTGGCACTGAAGTCCTGAAACAGCCTCAGGAAAAATGACCTTGTCTGTCCTCTGGATTAACACCAGCAGGGGGTGGACCACAGGAGGCCTCAGCCTAGGTCTGAAGGCCCAGCTCTGAAGATCAACAGCCCTGACTGTCCTGCACCGTGGGAAGGAATGCAGGCCCTCTCAGGGTCTCTGTCCTTCACTGTAGAGCCAACTGCCTCTTCTCTGGGCGAGACAGAGCTACACCGGGCACCACACAAGATGTATGCACATCCCCATGGCAGCCCCGGTCTCAAAGAGGACGGTCCCCACTTAGTACACCTGCCCCTCTATCAGCTGACCTCCCTCGGGGAACCTTTCCCCTGGGAAAGGTTCTTTGTGTGTCTGGGAGTCCTCATGCATAGGAAGAAAGAGATGGGTTCAGAGGAGACAAGTGCATTCATTGGTTATGGAGGCGGTGGAGGAGGGGTTTAGACCAGGTCCGTGGCCTTGGGGACACATAGCAGACAATGTAAGGAAGCACTGCTAGTCTACAAAACCAACCTCCTTACCACAAGGGTTTGCATGAACATTTGTGGCCCGGGACTAGGGGACTCGCTACAGGGAGGTGAGGTCAGAGGTCAGCTCAATCCTGAAATATAAAGGTGGCAAACGGGGTCACAACGAGAGGCGGCGTCCTCATACAGAGAGTCAGGGGCTCCCATAGCAAGGACTTCCTTCTTCCTGCCTGTGTCTACACTGACACCCCTCTGCGCCAGACGGTACACTCAGCATCCTGATAGGGAGACAGGATCTTGCGAGCAGGGTAGTTGTGATACTGGAGGGATACTGGTGGCCCTGGGACAGCCTAGAGAGGTAGGGTGAGCCTTCTACTCCTCATGAATCAGGCCTAGTCCCCACCAGCCCTTTCTGGGTGCTGGGACTCAATGAGGCTTCGCTATAATGCAGGGGCTCTGCTCACACTGCTGGGGGGCGGGGCAGCAGGTGAGGGGTCGGGGTACAGTGGGCTGCGGCCACGTTGGCCATCCTACTGCCTTTTGAGCACCCCTCACCCACCCATGCAGTCCAGACAGAGGGGAAGTTGGTCGGCATCCTGGGGGCTCTGGCGGCTGAGGGGAGAATGGCCTGATTCCAGAAGCCACCCAGCTGCCGGGAGCTGTGCAGAGGAGCGCAGAGCGGAGCTGCGCAGAGAGCAGAGCGGGCGCTGCGCAGAGCGAGCGGAACAGATAGAGAATGACATGGTGGGTGGGGGTGGGTGGGGGCGGGCTGGGGCCGGGAGGAGGGAGGCTGCCAGATGGATGAGCACCAAGAATCCCGCTCTGTCCTCAAGTGACAAATTGGTTTTGTCAGGGACTCTACGCATAAGTGAGCAGTGAGGCTGCTCCGGGCCCTTTCCTGGCATCCTCACTCTTTGTTTTCCAGGTCGGGGAGGCTTCGGGCTGAGAGAATACAAGAAATGGACTCTCCTCTCCTCTCCTCTCGTGCCCTTCCTCCCTGCTGCCTCCCCGGGGAGCTTCTTCCCTTGGTTGAAGCAGGCTGAATATTCCCAGGACGAGAAAGGACGCCCCCCCCCATAAGCAAAAAAAAAAAAAGAGGGGGGCTTAATGGGCGGGGCTTGCAGGCGCCCTCCCGGGCGGACCCTTCTGCTAGTGTCCCAGGAGCAGGCCTACCTCTGTTCCTCCTCCAATTCTTCTTTGGTCATCATCTTCTTGTACTGGCTTCCCCTCAGCTGCCCAGGGCTGTACTTAAAGGAGAAGGCTGACCCTGTGGAAGACAGTCCATAGGTTTATTGATGACGGGGGGTGGGGGGGGAGGGTTCGGGGATGGGGGTTGGGGGGGCCCTCTCAGAGCTCAGCAGTATCTCCTTTCCCTGGTTAGTTTTAGTCTCTGTCTCTCTGTCTCTCTCTGAGTCTGTGTGTGAGTGTGTGTGTATGTGTGATATGTGTGTGTAGGGTATGTGTGTCTGTGTGTATGTGTGTGTCTGTCTGTCTGTAGCCGGGGATTGAACTCAGGGCCTTGTACATGCTAGGCAAGTGTTCTTCCTTGAACTACATCGTCAGCTCTCCCTTAATTAATTTTCAAAGAAATAGTCCAGCAACATAGCTCAGTTGGTGGGGGGGGGGGAGCCAGAAGGTAGTGTCACACGGCTCTGGAGCCCCAACACTCAGGAGGCAGAGGCAGGTGAATCTCTGAGTTCAAGGCTAGCCTGGTCTACAAAGAGAGTTCCAGTACAACCAGAAATACACAAAGCAACCTTGTCTCAAAAAACAAGCAAACAAAAAAACTAGCCCTCCCCCCCCCAAAAAAAAACCAATCAAACCAAACCAAAAACAAAACAGAAAGAAAGAGAAATGGAAAGAGGAAAAGAGAAAGAAAGACCTGATGTCAGAGAAGCCAACAAGCTACAGCCAGAGAGAAACCAGCCCCTGTGCTACTCCATCTTCCAGATGACATTCCCTCTGCAGGCCAGGTCAAGCCAGCCCAGAGCTGTCTCCCTGTCTGTGTCAACAGTCCAGCTGTTTGCCTGCAAGACTTCCTCAGTGCCACGGTGGCCTCCCCCAACCCCAGTCTATGCTGATCAGACCAGTAGCAGATACCATTCACATGCTGGGCCCCAGGGACTCAGACCTTCCTTTTCTTTCTCCTATGCTTGGGACAGACGTGTCCAGTCTCTCCATCCTCCCTCCCCCCAGGTTATCAGCAATTGAAGGCATTCGTCGGGCGGTGGTGGGATGCACAAATGAACAGGCTTGGCAGACTGCCAGCGACTGAGAGCAGCCCCCGGTCCTGCAGACTATTAGAAGGGTAGATGTGCAGGTCTGACAGGAGGAGGGGGAGCAGAGGAAGGCCAGGGCATTCGACACATCGCCTCAGCAGAGGGAGGCAGGGCAGAGTGGAAAAGCGGCCATCCTGAGGTAATGATCTGCTTGGAACCAAAGCTTTCACTGTCCCTTAGTCCTACCTGTATCCGAGACTGAGGATGGCGGGCAGGCTGGCTGACTTCTATCTAATGCCTGTCAAGGTAGACCAGCTGGGGATGGTGACAGCCAGTGAGCCTGGTATCCCCTCTTCCAGCTGCTATTCTAGAACTTTCTACTGCCTCCCGGAGAGTCTGAGACACCTCCACACATTCTCACAGTGTGTCAGGCTCCCCACTCACACATGCCTTCGGATATGTAGATGCTGCCAAGAAGGAAGAAAAGCCACTGGGATTAGGATTCTCTTCTTGCTAAAAAAAAAAAAAAAGGAGGTTCTGAAGATGAACTCAGAACCTAAACATTCTACAGAGCCAGACTGTCCCCTCATCAAGCCTCACTTAGGAGAACTGGGGTCCTACCTAGCCAGCCGCCCAGGGCCGGAGGCCTTCCTTGAGAAGCAATCTTCACCTTTTACAAGGACTTGCTTTGCTCCTAAGTCATTCCACATTTAGAGAGCACAGTTCTGGGTGCTCTGGGGCTGTGGTGACCAGAAGACAAGTGTACAATAAACGAAGACTCAAGTCAGCAGCTGGGCCCAGGCAAGGGTAGCGGAGAGGGGAGTGACGTCAGCTAGGGGGTTGAAAGAGATCGGATGAGCCGGGCGGTGGTGGCGCACGCCTTTAATCCCAGCACTCGGGAGGCAGAGGCAGGCGGATTTCTGAGTTCGAGGCCAGCCTGGTCTACAGAGTGAGTTCCAGGACAGCCCGGGCTATACAGAAAAACCCTGTCTCGAAAAACCCAAAAAAAAAAAAAAAAAAAAGAAAAGAAAGAGATCGGATGGGACAGGTAGTGTTCATCTTTAGTCCCAGCACTTTGGGGTGGGAAGAGGCAGGTCTCTGTGAGTTCCAGCCCAGCCTGGCCCACATCAAATTTCAGGCCAGGTATACAGACGGTGCAGGACAGCAGACTGACTATGGGGCTGGGGACAGAGGCATATTGGGGTCAGTTGGGGTTTGCTTGGCTGTCGAGGCTCTTGCTGGGATGAGGTGGTGCCTCTGGGAGTCTGAAGCTCTTTGCCTTCTCAGAAACCCTCTGCTCTCCTCTGCAGTGCCCCAGCATGTCAGTCTTAGGCCTAACCAGGCTAATAAGCATGGCACAGGACAGTCCACTCCATCTTGTCTAGTTCATAGGAACCAAGAGCTTTTCAAGTCCAGGGTGTGGACAGAAGAGGCCGGGAGATCGGGGAGCTTCCCTGAGCAACTGCAGTCTGCTGCTGCCCGGGGCTGCAGCATTCATAGAGAAGGTCTTTGTTTGTCCCAGATCCCTGAATATCCTGCACGCCAGGGACAACGACTGGAGCTTCAGCTTGCAAGCAGCCCCCTGGTTGGACCCAGAAACAGTACTGACAAAACCAACGGACCTCAACATCTGGGTGGCTGTGCTGCTGTTCTAGAAAAATAAACATAAAAGGCTTCTTCCACCCGCTTGTTGCCCGCCTGGGTTCTGGTTTATGGGACAAGTCTGATTAGCCTGATGCTTTTCCAGCCTGCCAGGACAGCTGCCCTAACGCAGGCTTTAACTTAATCACACTCGGTGGGCCCAATCCAATTTAGTTAGAGCCAGAGGGCCGGGTGTGAGGGTCCCCAGGGAGTGCGTACAGGGTGGGGGCTTCCTCTTCCAGGTATCAAGTCGCTTGGGGAAGTCATTTTAGCGACACTAATCAATTAGCCTGGAGGCTGGGCTGCTTATTGGGAAGGGGGCAGCGGGCAGTCTTGCCTTCTTCTAACAGCTGAGACCGTTGGCCTTTCTCCTCTCTGCCGGGTTATAGATGGGAGGCCATGAGCGTTTGTGGCTGTCCAGGGACAGCAGCTCAGATGAGAGGGAGGACTCAGGGAGCAGGCATGGGGCTAGGTGCAGGGCTTGGCATAGGTGAGACTGTTGGCTGAGTTAGGAATGGCGGCCTGTAGGTGTGCCTGCTTTGTTTGCACCCAGTTTTAACTTCCCTTTGCATGTTGCAGTCACTGGCAGGACTTTGGTACCCACGACAACAGGGATAGATAGACTCATGGGCCACAGCTGCTGTTACCTCCTTACTCAACGATCCAGAAGCTGGGAGCAAGGGCCTGGCTGGCCCTGGTTGACATCGCTACCTACCACTGCCTGTGCCTCAGAGGCTACACCAATAGAAACCCTTAGCCCTGTTCTCTAGAGGGCCTGGGGACTTTCTTGGCTGTGACACCCACAGGAGCCTCAGTCACCACATTCCTGAACCCCCTGCTTCCCATGGATCCTGCCAGCCGTTGGCTTAAAGCTACAGCCAGTTCTCCCTTAAAAAGAAGAAAACACGCAAAAAGGAATATCTCTGGGCACTAGCTGTACAGATCTAATAAATATTAATTAAATTAATATTAATATCTTCCTTTTTTCTTTTGTTTTTTTTTGTTTGTTTGTTTACTTTTTTGTTGTTTTGGTTTGGTTTTGCTCCGGTTTCTTTTTGAAGGAAATAAAATCTGGCAGATGAGCCAACCAGTCTGTCTGTCTGTCTGTCTGTCTAAGACACATTGGGGCCTCTTGGTTCCTGTGTTCCTGTGGCTCCCCATCTGAGCTACCCCAGGCTCTGGAGAAGCAGCCCCATGTTCCGGAAGGCCCCTCAACAAAATGTACCAGAGAAAGACAGCAGATATGGTTGGGAGAGGGGAGAAGACAACCGGCAGCCAGGGAAAGCTAAGGAGCTTTTACTTCTAAGGAGGGAGGGGTCCTCCCACACCCAAAGATACTTATATTGCAGACAGAAAAGCAAAGAACAAAAGTTCAAACAAGGAATGGAGGGAGGGGAGGGGGAGGGGGGGAGGGAGGGGAGAAGGAGGAGGAGGGGAGGGTGGGCAGGGAGATGAGGGGAGGGGAAGGGGAGAAGGAGGCGGAGCAGGGAGGAGAGGGGAGGGTGGGCAGGGAGATGAGGGGGAAAGGAAGGGGGAGCTGAGGAGGGGAAGGGAAGGGGGAGCAGAGCCTTGATCTCATCCTCCATAGCCCCTCTCACCCTCTTAGTCCCCCAGTTCTCAGATCCCACCACTGCCCCAAGACTGGCCCAGGGGAAGACAAAGATTGCAGCCCAGGAGGGAGAGGGGGACGCTCACCATCTTCTTCCTCGGGTTCTTCAGTGGGTGGCCCCATCTCACTGTCTGAGTCTTCATCCTGCGGGAGAATAGAGGTCAGTGCTGTTTGACCAGCTGAAACATCTCTGAGGTCCAATGTGGGCATGACCAGCTGCCATGGAGGAATCTGGATGCCAGGGCAAACTCAGGGGTAAGGAGGAGGAGGTGATGGGGAACTCTGGGTACCGCAAGCCCTCAAAATCTGGCTGTTCCCAGGTAGCGCCTGTCCAGGCATTTAGGTACCTTTTTATTTTTATTTTTTAATTTAATTAAATTAATTTATTTATTTATTTTGGTTTTTTTGAGACAGGGTTTCTCGGTATAGCCCAGGCTGTCCTGGAGCTCACTCTGTAGACCAGGGTGGCCTCGAACTCAGAAATCCACCTGCCTCTGCCTCCCAACTGCTGGGATTAAAGGCGTGTACCACCACCACCCAGCTTGGGTACCACCACCACCCAGCTTTAGGTACCTTTTTAAAGATGACTGATTTTTATTTTATGTGCACTGGAGTTTTGCCTGCATATCTGTCTGTGTGAGAGTGTCAGATCCCCTGGAACTGGAGGATAGAAGTTGCGAGCCACAATGAGGGTGCTGGGAATTGAACCCAGGTCCTCTGGAATAGCAGCCAGTGCTCTTAACCGCTGAGCCATCTCTCCAGCCCCAGGTACCATTTTGGAAAGTGGAATTCCCGCTCTTAGTAAGTAAACCACAGCACTGAGAAAGCTGGATGTACTACCCAGGTAAGGCCAGCTCCACAGCCCAGCTATTCCAAGATGGGAGCCTTTCCTTGCTTCTTCCAACATCATTTCTGTCTCCAGTCAGTTTAGTGACCATTTACCCCAAACTGGAGCTCTGCCCCCTTCTCCTGGTCTCTCCCACACATGGATTCAATAAACAGATGGCTGGAGAGAGGCATCCCGTCCTGGGATGGCCTTGGTGGAAGGAAGGAGTGACTTCAGCTTCAGGAATGTTTGAGGATGAGAGAGTCATGTGACCGGCTAGCTATGTGGGACTGGAGGGTGTGGGCGGGCGAAGAGAGGCCCCGAGGATCTGGCTTGGAAGCCTAGCGGGCCACAGTGGAGGCTTGAGGTTTGAGGGGGAGGGAGGGCATGGGTGGAAGTGAACTGCCTCAGTAGAGACAAACACTGGCGCGGGTCTGGGGTGCCCCAAATACCTCGAGAAGCAGCCAGCCTCTACAGCGGGGAGGCTCTACAACAGAACAGCAAGCTGAGCCTGGAAACAAAGCTTTCACAAGTAACGGGGTCCCAAGCGGTGAATTTTGAGGCCTTGAGCTCCCCATGGGAGCCAGCACCCACTACTTAGCATCTTGAAGACTTTGTGCCTAGAAACCACACTCCCCAGCACTGACAAGCCTGTGTCCTGGGGGACCAGACACACCTCCATTTTTGCCCAACAAAGTAGTATCTTTGTGGCTAAGGGAGGTGAGCAGGTTGACAAAGGACGCAGAGGACTCTTTCCAAAGGGATTGTTATCCAGACTGAAACCACCTATCTGGGACTTCTATACAACAGTGCTAGAGACTGGCAGTGACATCAGCACCTATTAGCTACCTACAGCTGGCTATAATGTCAACCAGTCCAAAGTCACCGGGCACGTGCCTATACGTGCATGTATACCTCGCAGGGAATCCAGAGGAGGCGTGTGCACGTGCTGACTGTGCTGAGGGGTCAGGAGGGATTATAAAGGAGCTGGGCGGATGGGCAAAGCACACAAGTCCGAGGAACTGGGTTTGGATCCCCAGCGGCCATGAAAAGGAAGGGTATGGTTGTGCAATGTCAGTAACTCTAGTGCAGAGTTTGTGGGGGCTGGACAGAGGCAGATCCTCAGGGTTGACCAGCTAGCCAGCCTAGGCAACCTGGGAACTCTGGATTCAGTGAGAGATCCTGTCTCAAAAGAGAAGGTGGAGCTGGGCATCCAGTCACAGCCTTTAATGCCGGCACTCGAAAGACAGAAGCAGGAGGATTGCTATGAGTTCTTGGCCAGCCTGATCTACTTAGTGAGTTCCAGGTCAACCAGAGCTACATAGCAAGATTCTTGTCTCAAAAATAAAATAAAGTCATCAGGATAGATGTGTGTCTGTCTGTCTGTCTGTCTGTCTGTCTGTCTGCCTGTGTGTCTGTGTGTATCTATGCACATGTGGGCCCATGGGTGTGCCTATGTGTGTGTGTATGTGTGTGTATATATGTGTGTGTGTCTATGCACATGTATCTGTGTGTATGTATGTGTGTGTCTATGCACATGTGTGCCTATGCACACATGCCTGCGTGTCTGTGCATGCGCATCTGTGTGTGTGTGCGTGTGTGTGTGTGTGTGTGTGCGCGCGCGCATGGAGGTCAAAGACGCATGTCAGGTGTTGTGCCCCACCACTCTGCTTTGTTCTCTTAAGACAAAGCCTCTTACTGAACCTGGAGCTAGATTGGCAGCCATTACACCCCAGTGATCCTCCTGCCTCTGATCTCCTCAGTTTCAGAGTTACAGGTATATGTGTTCACTTTGTTTTTACATGATGCTGGGGATTCAAACTCAGGTCCTCAATCAAGCATGTGCAGCAAGGCTCTTAGCCACTGAGCTATCTGCCCAGACTCTAGGATGTGTCTTAATCCAAGGTCCACCGTCCTTATCACACACACACACAGAGACACACCAGCACACACAAACGCTCCCGTGCACGCCAAAGAGAGGCTCCAGGAGAGACGCACTCTGCCAGCACCTTGGTCTTGAACTTTGGACCCCAGAGCTATGAGAAAAGAAATTGCTAGCCAGGCGGTGGTGGCGCACGCCTTTAATCCCAGCACTTGGGAGGCAGAGGCAGGCTGATTTCGGAGTTCAAGAGTTCGAGGCTAGCCTGGTCTACAGAATGAGTTCCAGGACAGCCAGGGCTACACAGAGAAACCCTGTCTGGAAAAGACCAGAAAAAAAAAAAAAGAGAGAGAGAGAGAAAAGAAATTGCTGTTGTTTAGGTTCCCGGCCCACGGCATTTTACTGCAGTAACTCTTGCAGGCCCATATTCCGGTGACAGTAAACCAACCTGAGGGAAACTAGAGGGTGTAACACAGTCATCCTGGCTGGTCCCCCAGCAGGCCTGACTGAGGCTCAAAGCCAATCACCTCACAGGCGTTTCTGTTGCTGGCCTGCCTGCTGCTCTCTGCAGTGTATTAAATAAACCTGCGTGCTTTCTAAACAAAGCAAAGCAAACGCCAATCAGCCCACTGAGTCTCAGCCCGGTAGAGCTGGATGGGCGAAGCTGTGTTTTAACTGCCTAGGTTCTGAGATAATGTTCCAGGTTAGCTTCTTCTAGAGACAGTGAGAGACAGAAAGTCTCCAATTAGCATCCCCAAAGACCCAGGCAGCCAGGCGGCCAGTGCTGCAGAGGATGGAACAGGCAGGCTTCTGGACAATCAGATCAATGCAAAGTATGTGTGTGTTTGTGTGTGTCTGTGTATGTGCCTATGTATGTGTGTCTGTGTGTCTGTTTGTGTGTGTGTCTGTGTTTGTGTCTGTGTGTATAACTGTATATGTGTCTGTGTGTGTGTCTGTGTATGTGTCTGTGTGTGTGTCTGTGTATGTGTCTGTGTGTCTGTTTGTGTGTGTGTCTGTGTTTGTGTCTCTGTGTGTGTCTGTGTATAGTGTCTGTGTGTGTATCTCTGTATGTGTCTGTGTGTGGTGTCTGTGTGTGTGTATCTCTGTATGTGTCTGTGTGTGGTGTCTGTGTGTATCTCTGTATGTGTCTGTGTGTGGTGTGTATGTGTCTGTGTATGTGTCTCTGTGTGTGCGTGTGTCTGTGGTCTCTGTGTGTGTATCTCTGTATGTGTGTCTGTATGTGTGTCTGTGTGTCTGTGCACATGCGTGCATGAGAGTATGTACACATATGTTGCTCCAGGAGATGATTCTACCAGAAGATCAGCAGGACCCCTGTGGTAGCCGCCAAAGCTAAGCAGGTGTGACTGGCTTTGGATTATGGCAGCTCAGCCAGGCAGGTGGAGCTCAGTCTGGTCCCAACTCTGTTTTTCTTTTTTTTTTTTCTTTTTTTTTTTTTTTGGTGGGGGGGAGGGCAGTAAGACAGGGCCTTTCTGTGTAGCTTTGGCTATCCTGGAACTAGCTCTGTAGACCAGCCTAGCCTTGAACTCAGACTTTGGCCTGCTCTGCCTCCTAAGTGCTGGGATTAAAGGTGTGTGCCACCATGTCCAGCTAGCTGGTCCCAACTCTTCAGGGGTTATCTCCTGGAGAAAAGGCAAGGCAGGTGGGGGTGGAGGAGGTTGCCTACAGGTCTCTCTCCTGACAAAAGGCTCAGTTTTCATCTTTGAATGGGGGGGGGGGGAAGGGAGGTAGGCAGTATGTTCGGAAAGCAGAGCTGGCTAGTCCCAGTCAGTTCAAACCTGGAGCCTTTCTCAAAGCTTCCAGCAGATCAGTTTGGCCACCTCCCTGTCTCCAAACAATGCTTCTGGGGGGACATTTGGACCCCACTTACCAAGTCTATGGTTGCCACTGATGGGAATACATCCTCCTTAGGGCAAGGAAAACAAACCATCCGTTCTGTCCCAAGCTGGCCCTCTAAGCCCATCCAGCTCTTCTGGGCAATAGCCCGACACTCACATCACTGCCTCAGACAAGACTCCAGCCAGACTCCCACGCTTCCCCTCCCTCCCTGAGAGTCACCGAGTTCTCCATTTTCTTCTGGCCCTCTCAGGCCTTCCTGAGGCCCTGGGCCTACTCTCTTCTAATTTTTCCTACTTGGAGAACATGTTAGGCAATCCTTTGGACAATTGTCTCTATTCTTTGTTTTATGTGTATGGCTGTGTGCCTGTGTGTATGTCTGGTAGCACAGGCATGCCCAGTGCCACGGAAGTCAGAGGAAAACATTGGATCCCCTGGAACTATAGTGACAGACAGTTGTCAGCCACCATGTGGGTGCTGAGAATCAAACCCAGGTCCTCTGGAAGAGCAGCCAGTGCTCTTAACCAAGGAGCCATCTTTTTAAAAACCCGAAAACAAGTTTTTAAGTTAGTTTATTTTTGAGAC